TATTATAATTTTTTATCACACGCCATAATATATATATATATATATATATATATATACTAGGAGAAAGAGAAAACAGACACTTTGTGTCTTTAAATCTTTTTAAAAGTAAAATAATTAAAATTTATTTATTTATTTCTTAAGAATTAAGGGTATAATTATCCATAATTTTTTAGACAAAAATCAGTTACAATTTATCTATTACTATAGATAATCAAACAACTATATATTAACTATTTTTCTTCCATTCATTTTCTCTGTCTTTATCTCTACTTTCTATATATAGATTCATTGAAGTTTTAAATACTCATATTTATACTCGTTTCTTGTATTTTACTGATTTACTTAAATATAAAATTCAGAAATCAATAAAATGCAAATTTAAGAAATTACTACAACTTGAAGAGATATTTTTAAATCAATTAGTTATTAGGAACAAAAATAATTATTTGGTGTAATTATTTTAAATATAATGTTTTAAGTTTTAAATAAAGAAGATTTAATCTAGAAAAAAATTCCATTAACCCCTACTTGAAGTTTTTCTCAATGACGTCGTACGTATATCTCTTCTCAAATTTTTAAGTGAGTATTAATTTTCTTATTTATTAATTTAAGTGGCACATACAACTACTTATATAAGATAATAATATTTATATACTATTAAGAAAAAATAATTTATTAATACAAATATCAATAATTAAATGAGATTTGATCTCTTATATTTCATTATTTCAAATTTTTTGAAATATATTTTAAATATCATGCACACTGTGATTTAAAAATATATTAAATTTAATTAATAATTTTAAAAATGAATTGAAAAAAATCTTATTTTCAAAATTGAAGATCAATGAAAGTTTTCATCAAAATGACATAGTATTGGATGTAATTTAGAAATAAATGATAGATACATATATATGATTTGCAGAACATAATTTAACTTTTTCCCCCTATAATTATATATAGGTAAGCCATACCTCACTCACTCTGATTTATATTTATCTTATTCATTACAATATATTTATATTTTGAAAACACCCATATATAATAATGAAAATATTATATAGTGCATTGTTGTATGTATCGACGGGATCAGGATTGCTTGCATTTGAAAAACAATAGGCTTATATTTTATTTAATAATTTCATACGGATCTATATCTGTCGGAAAATCCGTCGGAAATTTCAGAAAAATCCGTCAAAAATTTCAGACGGATTTAAATCCGTCCGAAATTCCATCAGATAAAAATTCGTCGGAAGTTTTTGATGAATTTTTGTCCATCGGAAATTATCCGTCGAAAATTTAACTTTTTCTTGTAGTGTTAGTATTTTAATTATACCAATACTATATATACTTAAAAAAAACATATGAAACTAGCTGCATTTGGTAATAAGAATTTAAATAGTATATATTTCTAAATTTGAACCATGGCGTTATTGAATTTTCTAAGAATCGGAAAAAAAAATTACTATCAAACATTTTCTTTTAAGAATGAGAATCTCTAAAACTATTTTTCATCTTGTCGCAACCCAAAAAATTATGGTTCTTGCGACCTATGGATTAGACATTCAATTAAAATCTCATTAGTTAAGAAACTAATCCTTAAATAATGGTTTTTGAAAATAGGTTCTTAGAAGTTGTCATCAATATTTTGCTCAAAACATTGGAAAAATGATTTTTTTTAAAAAAAAGATTTTTTAAAAGGTCCAATCATGACCTTAATAACTAAAATTGGGTTCAAGGGTCGGTTACCTGTAGGGAAGGTATTAAGCATCCCTACAATGTCATTGATTAGTACCCTCATGATGAAGTTAGCATAGTAAGAATTAACAAATTAAATATTTAATCTCCTTTATTAATGGTTATTTACATGCTTAAAATTTAAATTACACGGTTGCTCCTAAGATGTCTAAATGATTACTTTTATCATAACAATATCTATTAAAAATGAGAAATAAAAAAGGGAAGACAATGAGATTGATTGAAATACCTCTTAAATGGATTGTATTGAATCTTCAAATATGGAAATAAGTGCTTTGTGAAAATCTTTCACACTACACAAATACTTTACAGATCTCAAGAAATACAAAAAGAGAAAGAGGAAGAGAAATTTCGAGATATATGGAGTCCTAGACGAATTTTTTCAATCCTGAAAAAAGTGTCTGAGTCTCCTATTTATAGACATCAGAAATGGCCAGAACGGCTCGTTCCAGATTCGGAACGGCCCATTCTGGATCCATTCTTAATGTGTTAAATTTGCTTCTAGAACGGTACGTTCTATAACCAGAACGATCCGTTCTAGAGCTGAGCTTTACCTCATAACTGTCATGTTGTAACGGCCCGTTCCAAATTACGGTTTTAGACCTTTTTGGTGTTTTGGAACGGCCGTTCCCGTTTAAGAATGGCTCGTACCGAGTTGGGAACCGGCCGTTTCACCTTGGGAACAGCCCATTCTAGTATTGGAATGGGCCGTTCCGACGTGGGAACAACCCATTCTGGGCACTAAATCAGTCTTTGTTAGACTTTTGGCCTTCTGATGCCATATCCTGTCATTTCCATGCTTAGGAACTCCTTTTCTTTACAAATAAAAATCTATTTCTCAATTTATAAGTCTAAACAAAATTAGGTGTCTACACATCTGAAAAGATGTAATAATTTAAAGAATTACAACTCAATAAATATAAATGATTATATTATAATTTAATTGATATTTAATTGCTTTCAATAAGATAATATTTTTAAAATTATTAATATTTGATATTTTAACTATTTAGTATTTGTGTTTGATTTCCTTTATAATTAACAAAAAAATATATAAGCTTGTTATTATTTATTTTCTAATACCTTAAATCAAAGACTAAACCAAAATAATTTTAGTTTTAGTATTTTGTTCAAATAAAAAGGAATTGCTTTAAGTTATGAATTGTTAGAATTAATTACATCAATTAATTAATTATTAATACTTTTTAAATGATTTTTTATAAAAAAAATTTTAACTAAAATAAAGCTTATTTAAAAGGAATGTTTTATTTTAATTGAGTAATATTTTTAAATTAAGTTGTTATTCAAGTTATAATATTATACAAGAATACACAAGAGATTATGATAGATTAGTAGTAAGTATAGTTAGTTAATTATGAATTAGGTAAACTGGTATATCAAACTATTTACAAAAATATGATAGGCTTTATATTGTATCTTACTACAAGTAGGCCCAATGTTATCCATAATGTGTGCTTGGATGCTCACTTTTTGTCTGATCCCAAAGAAGTGCTTCTCAGAGTTGTCAAAGGGATATTTAGATATCTTATTGGAAGCACTAACCTAAGTCTATTCTATAAAAAAATGTTAAGATTTCATGTTAGTAGATTATTGTGATGTAGATTATACTAGAGACAAAGTTGAAAGGAAAAACATAAGTGGAGGATGTCACTACTTAGATTCATGTCTCATCTCATGGGAAAACAAAAAGTAAAACTCCATAACTTGATGAACTATAGAAGCATTACGTGTATCATCAGTTAGGTGTTGTTCACAACTTCTACAGGTGATATTTCAATTGGAAGATTATTCTAGCTTTAACATAACATTCTTATTTTTTGTAACAATACTAGTGTTATTAATCTTTCAAAAAATCTCATACAACATTCTAAAGTTAAGCATATTAAGATAAGATATCACTCCATTCATGATAATGTCTAAAAAGATGTTTTTGATATAAAGTTAATAGACACATATCATTAATGCGATGATATCTTCCCAAAGGTTTTAGTTGAGGAACACATTTGGTTCATCATAGTGCATCTTAACATAAAGTGCATAACTGACTAATGCATGCTTTGATCATACGTCATCTACATGTTTATCATTATGTACATCATGTCTTCATATTGTTTTCTTATATATCATTTTCTACGTACATGGTCTTCATGTATTATTTGTCTTGATATAGTGTTTGGATGCAATGAGGTCGAGAGGACCTATGTTGAAGGTTAGGAGATGACAATCACCAAGGGGACAATGGACATTATGTTGAACCCTACTGCGCGCCAACTAAAAAGGTCTTTATGAAGAAGTACCTTAGGTATGCAAACATGAAGCCTATATGTTGATTGATTTTAACGCTTTTTTTCCAATGTTTTTATCCCCAAGTCTAACTCAAGGGATAATGTGTAGACCAATTCACAATATTTTCAAAACCAAGAGGTTGTCTAATATTGACTTCCTCTTTGATGATTTCTTTTAAAAAGACATTTTCACATCTATATTTGAAAAAGTTTAATGTTTTTAGGAACTGCAAATACTAACATAATTTTTATAGTTTAAAGTCTAGTCATAGGAACAAAGATTTCAATAAAGTCTACACCTTCTTGTTGATTGTAGCCTTAAGCTACTAATCTAGTTTTATTTCTTACAGCTTTTCATTTTTCATCTAACTTGTTTTTGAATGCTTATTAACACTACAAGAAAATTGCCATATAGTGACACAATAAGTGTCACTAAAAACTACTTTTACCTATACAATAAATATAATATATGTTGATATATTGTTAAAAAGTGTGGGTATAAGCTATAGTGACATACAAAATATGTTGTTAAATCTCATTCAAAATCAACAATAAAATTGTGTGTGTAGCTATATGTTAAATAGATCTATATATGCATATATTATACTTATAGTGACACTTTTTGTATGTCACTATATATGTAAGTACAAGTTTTCATCATTTCTTTTAAATTAATGAAGTTCTTCCACATTCGACATGTTAAAAGTCTGTTTAATTCGGAATGAGAAAATTTATTTTAGATATCAAATTCAAAAAGAGAAAAAAAATGTATTTTGGATCGGGTTTTCTTAAAAGAAAATTACATTCTGAATTTGTTAGTCACCAAATTCCTATTCAGCTTCTCGGAGTAACATCTCAAACATAGACATTTTCACTTATACGTGCATGTGAGTGAGCAAATCAAATGCTTAGAATGAGAACCCAACTTAAGGCTGGCCTGGTACTGTACTCCATGCTGGAGTAGGTGACCGATATCACAAGCAAGATTATTTTAAAAAACTGAACAAAAAGTTAGTAAACTTTTTTGAGGCATGTGATAACATTAATAACTTCAAATACTTATCCGCGATATTTACAGTGTCTTAGGTTACAACATGAACTTCTTAGAGATGAATTAAAGAACAAAATTAGTAAGATAGAAAGAAGTTGTAAACTCAGAAGAGAGATAGAGTGAAAAGGTGTGATTTTCTAGAGAGGTGAAAGCTTATAAGTAAGGGAGTTCAAAATATTTTATCTCGGTTAAGACTTTCTCAAATAAATAATTTTAATTAATAAAAAATCCAAATAAGTATTAACTAACGGATATCTAAGAAAAACTTAGTAAAATGTTTGATGACCTAGTCAGGAAAGTAGTAACAAAAAGGGGCATAATTTCGATAAGTTTTTAAAGTAAATAAATAAAAAGTAATTTAATATGATAAAATTTTAAAAAAAATGCTTTCTTATCCCATAACCACACACACAATAAGATAAATTGGACGATTTGCATTGCAACAGATTCACGAGACCCATTCTCAAGCAATAGATATCCTGACAAGTATAAGAAACATTTTAGTACTCTATTAGTTTCAAGCAATGTGAGATTCATTCTTTTGAAATACTTTCATACATAAGAGTCTAGGCTAAGGTAAGGCCATTAAGGCTATTGTCCTGGATCTGACTGAACTTTTAATTTTTTTGATATGTTTTTAAATAATTAATTTTAATATAAATAATTATATATATATGTATTTTTTTATTATATTATTTATATTTATTTCTTAGCATATAAGACTATACAATTATTTAAATATATATACATAAATATTATTATAGGATTTTTAATTTAAAAAATTTAAAACTATATTACATTAATATACTTTACTTTTTAATAAAAATATTAAAATAAATAAATATTAAATTTCATAAAAATAGTATGATTTATATAAAATACTAACAAAAATAAATAGTGATAAGATGATACGAAGTATGAATATTTGGCTAAAAATTAATTCTTTTGGTTCTATAAATTTTTTTCTAATTTTGATTATTTTGTATAAATATCAAATTTATTTATTTTATTTTATTCACAGCTTATTTGAAAAAATTTAAAATTTGAAATCACTTATATATATATATATTTTTTTTTTTTTTGAATTTCAATAAATAAAATTTTGAAAGATATATTGTATTAACTATAATATTTATAATTATTATCATTATCATCTTTTCAAAATTAAATTTTTAGATTTAATTTGAAACTGGGTTGAAAAATAATAAATTAGTGATTATAAAATTTAATTAAAAATTTAGATGAAAAGTAAAAATAAAATAAAAAATTGATTAGTAGTTATAAGAATAAAATTCAAATACAAAATTGGTCTTAGTCCTAAAATTTGTCACACACTATCCCCACACAAAAATTAGTCGCAAAATTCTACTAGCCGAACAACACTAAATCCATATGGACATCGTTTAGATGCCAATAAAAATATATAATAACCATTTAAAGAGATATAAATCGAAATGGCTTAACAATAAAATAAAGAAATTTAATATTCCTGGTATTTTATTTATACAACGCTCAATCTAAAACACATTTTTAATTTTCTGGATTAGGTGTTCTTAAACACGGTTTTTTCAATTCGGAATAAGTATTCAAAACTCATTTTTAATATTTCAAATTTAAAATTCCAGAACACATTTAACATTCTGAATTGAGTATTCGAACACATTTTTAAAATCTTAAATTGAATATTCCGAAATACAATTTTAACATTTTGAGAAAGGGAAGGGAATAATTTTTAAGAATAAATTTGAAACTTTAATATTTTGGAAGTGTAAGAAGCAAATGCTGTGATACATGACTTCTACTTTTTATCTAACAAAGAAAAGAAAAAGAAAAAAAAAGTCGTACAACATGAAAAAAAAAAAAAATCCTTTGAAGGTTGCTTATACTGAAGACATTTTTTCAATGTAAATAAGAAACGAATAAACTACGAATTCGTGTTTATACTGAACACAATTTCAAGATGAAAAAAACAACCAAAGCATTACGATAAATTTACTCAGAATTCATGTTTTGAAATATGAATTTCACATTTGATGTGTTCTAGCTTACCTATATCCCGATTGCTTTTTTTTATTTTTTTTAATTATCATTTTGGAAATTAAAAAAAAAAAAAACCATCTTGCTCAAAAAAATATTTGATGATGCTACACTGAAATCTGCTCTTTTGAAAGTCACAAAGCACTATGTCTATCCACTGTTTGGAAAGAGGATTAGTAGAAAATACATTTTTTCTTTTAGAGTAGAAAAAAGTGCCGGCAACTCTCCCTATTGATCTTTTACCATTCTCATTATATATATTTACATCATTGTTCTGACTCGGAGTCGCCATTTTCTGAATCCGTGACCATAACTATCTCTACATTTTTGTTTTCTTGTCTCACTTTGGCATCCACGTAATCCTTTGGAAGCACATTACAGTCGATTGTGTGCCATACTGGTCTCTCCTCTTGAAACAATCTGCAGAAGCATTAATAGCACAAAGCAAAATTATAAGTGGTGAGACAAAACTTTCAAGAAAGATGTTGAGAGAAAGAGAACCTACGGGTGTTTGCATAGTGAAGGACATTGCACTGTAAGTGCATACTTGCAAGTGGAAATCTCTGTGATAGAACTTATCATTGCCCTGGGTTCCGCACATACAAACCTCACCTAAAATCGAATGTGAAATTAATATGATGAAGGAAGTAATAAAAAGACCCAGATTTCTGTAATTTCATACCTCAGTCTCTCGTGGCTTATTTGTAAGATCACATAGCGTTCCGTTAGTATATTGATGAGCATGGTACCTGAATGAACACAATATAATCAAGTACTTATTTTTATCACATGTGAAACCATTTTTCCATGTTAAGTTGTTAACCAAATCCTCGCACTTATGAAACAGTCAGTCACAGAAGGTACCTTTGAGATGCATCTTTTGAGCGGGGATCCTTCAATGTAGAAATGTCAGAAAGATTTTCGTTAAATGAAGCTGTAGCCTCAGGATCATACTCTCCCAAGACAAACTCCTGGACAACCTGTGACAAAAAAATTTGCACTGATTACATGATTTTACAAGTTCTTAAATAAAATAAACTCATGATTAGACAAATGAAACTAAAAAATAAGTGTTCTGAATGCAGGATTTATATCAATGACTGACTTCAACTATCAATAATCACAAGGATGGTAAGCAAGGAATTTGGATCCTCTCTTTTTACTGAGTAGAGTGTCCCACTATGATAAAGACACAAATTTTATTGAGGAGTGACCAACCTTGCTTTATGTTTGGGGTCCACTGATTTCATACAAATGCAGTGTATATCTCTCTCATAATTCATAACACAATTGTCTCCCATTAGTTAGCAAAATGATAGCCTAAATAACCCAGTAACTGGTAACAATATTTGCATCTGTTCAGTAAATTTGTGATAGGCCCATTATGAATGTGTATAGGAGAGGAAAGAGAGGAGCTGTGGGAGTAGTGAAGGGATTAAATGGGCTTAAGAAACCAAGCTTGTTGGCGTATGAGAGAAGGAAGAAGGTGTAATAGAGTGAACAGGTGGCAAAAGAAGAATGGAGGGGGGTGATGCATGAAGGGGGAGAGAGAAGGGGTTAAATGGAAAGGAGAGTAACCAAATGAGAAGAGAGGGGGGGGGGGGGGGGTGCTTGAAGGGGAAAAGTGGGTTAGGTGGG